CTGATGAATCACCAAACCCCCCCAGTCTCAATTCCCCCCCCCCCCCCCTTTTTTTTTTTTTTTTTTTAAATACAGCAGCATTTCACAGATCAGTGCTATTCTGTATCTGAAGGGTTATCCACAGCTCCCATCTACTTATCCAAAAGCATATGCAACGGCTGTATTTTTGCTCATCTCTGCTGGGATGTAGTTTCCAAATAAGTGACTGTGGGCTGGGAAGTGTCTGTCTGTTAGTGATGAACTCCATTTGCCATCACCCCTTCCCTCTGTGCAGCAGGTCGGCTTTGTTCCACGCAAAAATCACCCTAATAAAAAATGCTCTCTGCAGTTTAGCATAGAGGAGAATGTGACCTGTTTGTTTCTTTCCAGCACAAACAATAGATGGGGAAAAGGAAAAATGTTGTTTGGTATCTGTCCTAGACGGCACCTTCCTTACACTGTTTAAAGAGACCTGCATAGCCATGCGCTGGGCAGAGGCTTAGGTTGCCCACTGGAAACAACAAACCTGATTCAGCCCAGAGTTATGCCAGCATCCTCCAGGTAAAGCAAAGGAGCGGGACTCCAGATTTAGAAAAGTTTCCCTCAGGGTTAAGCAGCTCTAGACTGATCTCTGCAACTTCGAATGGCTGCAATAACATGGAGATACAAGTCCCCACACCAGTAACAGAAAATTGCTGCTAGCTCAGTGCTGCCTGGCACAAAGAAAGTCTGAAGGTGTTCTGGGAAAGGGCTGAGTTTCTGTGGCAACCCCTCACATCACAAGTTCCCCTGGAATCCAGGTAAAAGCCATGACAGCTCACACCACAACTATGTGCTTTATTAAGTGACTTCCGGTGCCTGTAGCTTTGTTTATGAAAACCGTTCCTTAAAAATAAGTACATCACTTAAGTTTATGACCCCTCTGAAGAAAGGCAAACGGAGCTATTTCTGCTACATATCAAGAGATGCTTGTGAAAGCTCCAGAAAGCTCAGAAAACAATTCAACAAGTGTACTAACATCCAAAGGGTACCACCCTGCCACTTACTTGGATTGGATGGTGCAGAGCACCAAGAACTCAGCTGCAGTCAAGAGCTGTTGAATGGATATGTTGCTGCCCGTACAGGAGACTTACTCAGCAGTTCTCAGTCCCAGCTTCCACCATCATAAATTTACCACTACTCTCAAACAGCTGCCTCAAAAAGAAGGATAAAATCCCCTTCCTAAAGGGGTGAGCTTGCTACAGAGGTCTTAGCTTATGAACCAGGTTCAAAGCAACACTATATTGGGGCTAGAGCATCTGTGTATGGAGGCATCACGGAGCAAAAGTCAAGTAAGATCCTGGTTACTTCTGCAACAAAGATGAACCATCAGGTCAGAAGTCAAGCCAGTGCTTTGCTCTGCTCTGTCACAGGACGCAAGCCCTGCGCCACAGCTGCAGTGAGGAGCCATCCCTGTCTGTACAAAGCAGCCGTTTGTCTTCTGCTACATTCCCTTTTATTCAAAGTACACTTTAGGCTACCTGGGAAAGTCAGCAGTATTGATTCCTCTGCAGTGAACACTACAGAATTGTTTAGCAGCTATTCTGCAAATAACATTTAAGAAAACTCAGCCTTGATATTTCTAAGGCTATGAATTTAGAGGAGCTAACTAATCATCCAGGACAAAAAATAAATAAAAAAATTGATGATGATATTCAGAGGAGGGCCTAAATAAGGGGAACAGAAAAAGAAAAAGAAGCTATAAAACAGAACAATCTCCCTCATAGTAAATGTAAAGGTACAAACTCAATGCTGGTACTTTTGCCCCAACCATCAATCTCAAATATATTCATAGTCTATAATCAAAGGGGATCCCATAAATCTGTTTGCATTACTTTCACTTCAGTTAAAGTGATAGGCGACGTCAAACTGCTGCCAGTTTCTGCCACACTCACTGATTTGTCAGACAGATGGGTAATTTAAAGGCCATGCGCTGCATTGTGTCATGAAAAATACGGTTGCATTGGGAGAGTCTGACAGATAGAGGCTTAGATGATCGATGTATATGAAGTGACACTTCCCCACAAAAGATTATTGGTGTTAGCCTCCAATCTCATTTATCAACAACTTACTGGTGAATACTGGAGTAAATTCTTCAGAGCACTTCACGCAGCCATTAATAAATCAAGGCCGAACTCTTAGCTAGTGTTAGGATTAACAGCCAATAGGGAGAGGGAGTTGCAAATGATTATAAATCACAAGCTGTACTTTGAACTTATCTAGTGTCTTTCTTCAAAAGATTTCCAGGTTGAAGACTAAAGCTCTGTGCTCATAGCATTCCTTATAAGAGAATGTCACATCTATTCTGCTTTAACGCACACTCCTCTGGGGTTAATTAAAAAAAAAAAAAGAAACACACACGCAAGTTTCTCAAATAATCATTCTGTTTCTTAAAGTAAGCACAGGATTTTTAATACTCTGTTTGAAAGCATTAAGTAATTTCCTCCCCAGATGCACATAAATTCACTTAAACTGTGTAAAACACGGACAGAAATACTAAGATATTATTCCAAAGGTATCCTGCACCCTATGCTCTCACCACGCTAATCAACACAAGTGATTAACACAGATTGAGAGCCACCACCACTTATCAGTGGCAACAGTATTATTTTCTCCTGAAGGATGGTGCGCACGAAGTCTCTTAGGGAAAGTGTCTGTGTTGCAAGACGCAGTAATGCCACAGTGATCTTGGGCACAACAGCTGTCAGTAGCTGCTTTATTGTTTTCTAGGAAGCAGATGATCTGCGTAAATCCAGTCCTGCCCGGTTTTGGCCCCGCACACGGCGCAGCATCCCCCGTCGGCGTGACCCGCGCCGCGTACTGTCATTCAGGCACTGCCTGAAGGTCAGCGCAGCACCATATGGAGGTACGCCCTCCCTCCAGCTCACATCTGCACACTCTCCCTGCTGCACAATTATTTTGCCTCCCCATATGTCCATCCACTTGTTAGGCTCTTGCTACGCCGCTTGCCAAATTGGCTTTTCAAAAGGTACAAATACTGAAGCAGCAGGATCTGCCCCTGCCCTGAGTCCAGCTTTTATCCCAGTGTAATGATCACATGTGTAATTCAGGCACTTTGTACTTCTAGGCAATGCCTGCTCGACCACCTAGGATGTGTTTTTGTGTGTGGTTTAAGGCGGGAAGGAAGGGAGGAACTTCTTGAAAACCTCTACAACTTATTTCTAGGCTATTTTCATCATAATGCTCAGTACATCTTTCCCCAGCACTTGTTCCCGAAAAATTTTTCGTATCTACTACTCAGCAAGTCCTCAATAGAAAGGAACAACTCTCTTCAAGGAAACCAGGCAATTCAAAGACAGTGCCATGGGCAGCAAGCCTCTTCACCCAAGACACCAAGAGCACTTCAGCAAAAAGAATTTTAAAAATCCACCGCATCTGCCAGTAG